AGTATTCCATCTCTGAATCACTGATGAATAGTATTCCATCTCTGAATCACTGATGAATAGTATTCCATCTCTGAATCACTGGTGAATAGTATTCCATCTCTGAATCACTGATGAATAGTATTCCATCTCTGAATCACTGATGAAAGGTGAATAATAAATTTCTGTTATTATTATGTCAATCAATAATACTGAATATAGAGAGTTTAAACAATATTTTCTTTGGAAAGAAAGCATGCTTCTAGCAGCAAATAAAAACAAAGTTATTTCTTGACTAATAGGCAATTTAACAGACAGTAGAACAATTGGAAGCAATGCCCTATAGCATATGCAAGACTAATAGCTACAAATTAAGAACACATTCAGATAACTCGAAAATAATTGGCAAATAATTAAAAGTTTTTGTAACAGCATGTCTTTATAGCTCAGGAATAAGAAGGAGTATTTTAATATTGTCTTCAATTTGAAAATATAGAACACATTTCTATAGCTGGCAAATATTTTTCAAAAAAATCAGAATTAAGAAAAGTCAAAATAGCTCGTGAATTAACTGGATAATATTTACATTTTTTTGAAAATTATGAACACATCTAGATAGCATCAAAAAAAAAGGTGATATTTAAAATTAAATGACATCCAGATAGTTGTAGAATTACTGGGTAATATTAGAAAGTTCATGGCGATGTCCAGAAAACTCCGCAATAATTGGCTATATTTGAACATTTTGATGAAAAGATGTCTGCTGCCTAAATAAGTAAGTAGCAAATGATTTACATCCCAAAATAATATAAAATATGAGCATAATTAGATGAAAAATTCTGAACTAGGGCAATTAAAAATATGAATCAAATAAACAGCACGAATAACTGAACAGGAATACTTGAATCATGATTAAACAACATTAAATTAAACACTTAACAATTGAGACTTAAACCTTATAAGACAACAACTTCATAAGCATTAAACTTCACAATCTACAGCTAATATAAATCATTGTATATATGTATGTAAAATATACATGTAATGAACATACATGGATTATAACAGGATTTAACAATATATTCTAAGGAAATTAACACTCAGATATATATATATACTTCAAAGTTATCACAGCAATGTGAAGCACCAGTGAAAATATTATTATGAAATTCTAAAATAAGGGGTGTTACATAGTATTGAAGACTACATTTAATAGTGCTGAGGGTCGTATGTCAGTTTATTAACCCACACAAATTGATATAGACCCAATTGAAATATATGCAAATTCTATTTGTGTCAAGCATTATGATTCAATCGTTTTGAAATTGGACTATATCAGGCACTTGGCAGTTAAGAAAAAAATTGTGTTTACACAAAGTTATTTTTTGTTGACTGGCACTATATATGATAAACACAGCAAACAAACTTAAGAAAAGAAACACAAAAATAAAGTTTGTGGAAGTCCCGGCGTAGGCCTATTCCGTCTTTGCGTATTGCAGAGTTATCTTCTCTTGGGAGCAGGTATTGATTGTTACGTCACTTATTTATGAGAGTAACGTCATCAATTTTTGAGAAAACGACGTAATTTTCTCGCACAAACCAATGATGTAACAATCAATACCTGCTCCCAAGAGGAGATAACTCTGCAATACGCAAAGACGGAATAAAAAGAGTATAATGAAATTCATCACTTTGTGCAGTGGAAGGCAAGAGAGCATGCATGCTTTGGTCTGATAAGATGTCCTTCAGGTTATATTAGCTGGCAGACAACATACTCAACAGGGGTCGACACTAACACTAGTCTGCTAGGACTAGTGAATCACCTAACATAACTGGTCCTTTGGACTTATGAAAAATATGATTATAAGATAAGAATATTCCTTTTTAAAATTTAGAAAACTGCTTAAGGTAAGATATTTGCATTTGAAATTTTGCCAAAACCTTCACCATATTTTTATGGCAGCAGTTATTTTAAGTCCCCTACAGTTGATTACTTTACATGTTTCGTTCTGTAGGACGCAATGTTTCCTTATCTGGAAATCTTGGACTAGTTACATTGACGAAGGACTAGTAGATAATCTATTCAACTAGTCCTGTGGACTACCAAACAAAAACAACTTGTGTCTAACCCTGCTCAATAGATAGATATGGTAAGACTCTTTTTGAAATGACATCAAATTAAAAAAAAAGAAAAACAGAAAAGAACAGACTGGTGGATATAATGATTGAAAACTGAAACATCTATAAACTGAAAACGCAATACCTTCTGATTATACGATACTACACTGGCACTGAATCGTCTACTAGATCGTAGTCCTATTGTGTTTGTACACACGTTAGTGCACAAGTCACCTTATATATCATACACAATAACTGAGATTTTTGTTGTTATATATGGTATATGATGCTGACAGTAACGGCCCTATTCTTAATGACATTTAGAAAACATTTTCATAATCTGATTAAAAAAAAAGATTATTTTTCTAGTAGTGAGCAAATACATTTCCTAATATTATCTTCAGAATATTTAAATATAAACAGAAAAAAAAGACTGAAAGAACATGCATCCAGGATCAGGCTGTAAATTACAAAAGTACTCAAAAATTCCCTGCATTTTATACTAATGGACCAATCATATAATCACAGCTTTTTAAGCTACACAAGTGCTTGATTAAAAATGTCATAGACTTTAATTGTCTTTAGAATGTAAATAAACCAAAATAAAAAGTTACATAAAGAACATACTGATTGACAGTACTTCTCAGATGAGTGGAACAGGGGGCATAACTCTGGTGGCCATGTCCTAAGATGTGTGTAACTTCAAGATTGTATCCAATATTCCCTGTTACTTAGTTGGTTTTTTTCGTAGAATGATTTGATTGGCTTACAACACCTGATTAGAAAAATAGTGATATCATTCTGTATTGGTTCACTATTCAATAGTGTTGAAGCCCAGTAACAAAACTAAACTCTCGATCACCTTAGCTTGCTGTAGTGCATATCTGTAATAAGGCTTCAAATGTCTGGCCTCTGGACCAATGAATCAATTCTAACCGAAATTCTCGTTTGTCAAAAATTAACCAAATATTTTGGAAATCAGAAGGGATTCATGAAACAATACAAATTTATAATATTTATGTATAAACACAAATTAAGTATAATCACATTTTTAAAATTGTGGCACTGAAAAAGTTGGCAACTTTGAATGGACTGAAGTCTAGATTGCATAACTCATGATCTCAGGAAAAAAGTGTCATTATTTAATAATTGGACGGAATCATTACATTACATAACATTTTAGATAAAGTTTGCAAAAATTCCAGCTTTTTTTCTCTCCAAATGATCCCATAATATATTATACTTTTCACCCAATCCAATTCCTGGTCATCAACGCTACTGTGGCCAAAACAAGTACCAAGGAACCCATCATCTGAGAAGCTGAAGAAGGACTAACAAAGTCTTCCAGTATTTCTGTGAGCCTACCATCAGAGCTTAAGGCCCCGTCCCGGTTTGATGGAGGTTCTTGAACTCCCTGGCCTCCGTCAGTTGGTTTCTGTGTGGTGGGTGTCTTTGTCCTCGAGGGTTCATCTGTTGTGGGTGTGACCTTCACCTGACCTTGAGTGTTTGTCGGAGTGTCCGAGGTGACGCGCACCTTCGCCGTACTACCAGGCTTCTGGGTGGTGGGGGCAGGGGTTGGAAGTTGAGACACTGTGGTTGGTTTGGGAGTGGAGTAAACTGTCGCAGAAGTGGAAGCTATTGTGCCAAGTACAAGAAAATAGATTTAAGCTTTAGAATTTCAGGCACATTTATCAAACATAATAAGATCTTATATGTACATGTATGTGATAATGAAGATATGTAATAGGGAACTTTGACACTTTAATTTCAATTAAATCTGCACCTGAGGGTATAATTTCTATTTCTCCCACCCTTCACAGATGTGTCTCTCGTTTTAGCCGGGAAAGATCAGCTTGTCACCCCCTAGGGGCAGATAGCCTCATGCCGATTAGCATGCATTAAAATGTGTCACCGGTAATTGTGACATCATCAAAAGTGAATGACGATATTCATACCCCACATGTGGGTTTTTTTACAAACGTGGCAGATTACTGTTGGTGGAGTTGTGACTGAAATAATAGGATGGGAGAAAAACAATCATCCCCTACCTTGAGGATGTAGCAGAAAAATCTGAAACCCTTGGGGTGATTTTTTTTTGGTTGTCTTACCCTTGGCAGAGCCTCGGGTTAGACAACCAAAAAACATCACACCTCGGGTAGGAGATTTCTCTTTCTTATCCTCAAGCTTAAGGTAGGGGAAGATTATATTCATCCCACATACCTACACTGAGGATGTAGCAGAAAAATCGGAAACCCTTGGGGTGATTTTTTTTGGTTGTCTTCCCCTTGGCAGAGCCTCGGGTTAGACAACCAAAAAACATCACCCCTCGGGTAGGAGATTTCTCTTTCATATCCTCAAGCTTAAGGTAGGGGAAGATTATATTCATCCCCCATACCTACATAATATCTGACTGTACTATTTTTGAACTTTTGATACTGTAGGTTAAATATTAATGTTAACATGCAAATTTATATGAAGTATGGTAAAATGTTCCTTACCGCTTGGTGGTAACCTCTCTATGACCGCCTCATCATTGTCATCTAAAACGGTGATCTTATCACTTTTGGTATAGAGCATTGTGTGATCGCTGTTTCTCTTTGTACGTTCATCATGCCTGACCGAACGGCGACGGCGACCCGTAGGAGGAGTTGGTGTCGTCGCCCCACAACTTCGATCACAGATGTCGCTCTTCTCATTGATCTCACACACTGTACTGGTACAGTGCAGGTACACATTATCATGCCCGATAAAGCGGAATACACGGAAACGAAATCCTTCTACCGTCTCATTCCAAGGAACGAGAGCAACTGTTGTGTCGTTAGGACAACTGAAATATGACAAAGGGGATTCAAGTTAAAAGATACGGAAAAAAAAATATCAAGCGGTTTAATTAAATGAAACACACAAGTCCAAAACTATATATATATATATATTTTCAGGTCAATTTCAGAATATATAATGAATTATAATAATAATTAGAATAAATCTAGAAATAAATATTCAATTTTGTTCATGTACCTGTTCTCAAACAGAAAGTGGTTGATCTTGTCTGTCCAGGAACCTGTTGGAGTTGCGAAGCAGCTCCTCAGCACAAGCTTGAGGCGTGGTAGACTTGCATTCAATGTCAATGACACGCTCAGGGGTTGGTTCAGGGTCAACTCCGGGGTAACTGTCAGTGGGTCCTGGAAGTTGTCGTCACCATACATGACCATACCCACAGAAAACGTGCCAGGGGCAGTCTGGGTTACAAGTTGAGTGACCGGGATATAGATATTATCGCTGTTAGATTGGTTGCGTGGAAAGGCACACTGTAATTCTACAATGTAACTGTTTTTCCTGGTGATGACGCCGAGTCTCGTAGTAAAGTTATAATGGATTGTGTTTGTGTAGAATATATGGGTCTCATTTGTCTGCAAAGGAATATAAAATGCATTTATCATCCTGAAAGGAAACAATTTCATATCTAAGATATAAACACAAACATGACGGCTGATGATGATAGCATACCTACTTAAGCAAAATGTCTGACGGCATTTACAATGTACCAAGGTGTCCACCACCAAAGAAAGCCACATGAATTCTGTCTTTCAGTTCGGAGTTCTTCCACCTCTGTGTATGTAGATACATGTGTCCCATGTGATATGTGTATTCCACATGGTTGCACTCAGTGACCTGTATTATGATGACATCACAATCAGATGGCCGTGTTTTTATTATGAGGTCACAACATTGTTTCAGTGACTGGTAATCCTGACGTCAGCAAATGACCTAACCTCAAGAACATAAGAATGTTGTACAATCTTTTGCAGGGACCTTTAAACTGAGGTAAACCTATGGTATACCATACTTTTTTCAACTCTTTTCAAACATGGCTTTAGTTTGTGTATAGATTATCTAGAAATTTTGCTATATTCAGTGTTTGCATTTGCATCGTCTATGTCCTGAGTTACCAAAATTTTGTTTAAGAGGTGGGAAGAGTATGTCACTATGTAGGTATGTGTAGGATTAATATAATCTTTTGCCCCTTAGGGGCGAAATATGGGATTCTTGACCCGAGGGGGAAGATTCTAAAGTTGCCAAACTCGAGGGTTGAGATTCCCAATCTCACCTCAAGGGGGTGAACAATTGACCCTGTCATATTCATAATGTAATTTTGATGTTACATATGCTCAATGCATCGCTGATGTGACGTCATTATATTGTTAATATGACGTCATACAATTGTTATGAATTGGGGAATCCTCCCCCAACTCAACCTTAAACTGTGAGACAAGGATACCTCACACACCGGAAAACTGTGGGTACACCTGTCCAGGATAAGAGAAATGGATACTCTATCCCCTGGAGCAGAATTTTGTGTCAGAACCTCGGCAAAGCCTCAGTGTTCCCCCCTTTGGAAGGATATCAATATCCCACATACCTACACATTGACTCTATTCATATAACATGTAAACGCTATGAAGATACTATTGAGAAATCTTCAATGTGTTGGGGGGGGGGGGGGGGGGGGGGGATAAGGAAAAAAATGCTGGCAAAGTCAATACGTACAGTGAGAGTCGTGCCACAGTCTGTGAAGGGGATCATCATGATGATGTAGGCCGAGTTGTTCTGGAACTGGACATTACAGGGGTTACTGGGCTTGCTGATGGTCAAGTGTCGGTGCATCAGGTACGGGTCGTAATCTCGACTAAAACTGGCCGTGAACTTCTCGTCACTACAGCTCAGCAGTGGCTCAGGTGCTGAAATACAAAATCCCACAGATCTTATCTTCCACTAATTTCAACATCTATAAGAGTGATGGCAACTCTGTCATTGAACAATTAGATTTCATATCATTGATTGCTGTTTTTTATCAGGTACACACAAGTGAGGATAAATTTTGATATAATATGGAACAAGCAGGTTCAAATGTAGGATGGAAACAGAGCCATAAAGAAAATAAGTTCAAAAGGCAGATATATGGTAAATTCACATTTGAAAGAACAGATAGAACTATTTACATTTGAAAGAACAGTTATAAAGCTTTAAGGTAGAACTATTTTACATTTGCAGGAAAAGATCATCTATACAAAAATATTATTTAACAACATGTTAAACCATTGTCAATTCGCTCATATTTCAATGTCTCTTTTTCGTAAGAATTATTTTACACATTTTCCTTAATTTATCGCCATATCCCTTTATAACACCAATATTTCTCCTGATAAATATTAGCAGTATAACAAGACTTAACTGTATATAAATCACCATGTGACCATTATCCGTGTGTTCAATCATACACAACTGCATGTTTATCTCCAGGACCAAATATAAGCCAGGTAAAAATAATAATTAATTTTGAAAAACACTCAACCCTGTTAAATGGTGATTGTATTTTTAGAGATCAACAATCTATCTGATGACAGGTTAGAAAACCACAGGGACATGTAAACAATATCTATACCATCACATGCCATGCAATATCAATTTAGACTCAATGTGGAATTGAGTTGTACATGTATTTTGAAACAATCTCTAGCACCATGTAAAAGATATATTACAGTTGTATTTTATCATTTAGGAAAGTCGAATTGTTTCTTGGATGTATTTAAATAGGAAAACAAACTAAACTCTACAAGCCCTATTGTAATATACGACAAAGTGCTCCTATAGTGTCTTTATACCTTTATACACATCTCTGTATTCAGATTGTCTCCCTTGATCCATATATTCCCGATCATCATTTATATAACAAAAATATGTTTCAGGAAAAAAAACCAGGCCTGAACTCTTAATATGGAGGGGTAAAAGACCTCAATTTTGTGTGCAGCACTCGGCATTCATGAGATACATCAGTATAGCAAGTTTGGTGAATGTAGGTAAAATAGCAAGGGAGTTAATTATGTCCCAGAAAAAATATTGTTGATGTTCAGATCTAGAGCCAGCCAGTCAGCTATATATATAGCCATAAGCTAGCCAATGCAATACCATAATAGTTGTCTTGTCATAGATCTAGATGATTGTTTTAAACTACATTAAACTGTAATGCAAGATATTTTTTAAAGTTTTTTCTTTCTTTACACTATTGAATTAAGAGGTCAATTCCATATGCAACAATTATTACACGTATTAATAATTCTAAATATGTATATTTAGCCATAAGCTAGCCAATGCAATACCATAAAAGTTGTCTTATCATAGATGATTGTTTTAAAGTGCACTTTACTGTAAAGCAAGACATTTTTTGCAGCTTTTTTTTTCTTTACACCATTTAATTTAAAAGAGGTCTATTCCATAAGATGCAACAATTATCACATTGTAGGGAAACATGATCTTTTGTTTCTCTGAGGTTGACCATGTCGCATAAGGGTGAAGCTATAGTGAAACATGATTTTAATCAGTGAGAAACAAAGAATTGTGATTCCCAACTACATGGGCAATAAATGTTATATTTTATGCCGGAAAAAAAAACACCTAAATAATATGACACAATAGTAGATATGATCAGATTGACGCGCCATTGTTTTCGTCTGCTTTCGTCATTCGGAACTAGGTTGAAGTGGCTCTTGCCAATATTTCTAGAGAGGGGAAATCATGATCATGTAACCAGTATCATCCAATCAGATAAGATCGATGATATAAAGACGAGGTATAATAATAATTTTTAAAGGTCAACTGAAGGTCAACCATTTGACTAAAAAAACGAAGTAGAGTTTACATCAGTAGAGAAGTGCGCTACCTTCTGAGCCCGTGTGGTTAATAGGTACACAGGTGACACTGGCATATTCTCCACTCTGACAGTTGTGTACGCCTACGGGGTTGTGTTGACAAGAGAAAATGTCGGATTCTGTGCCGTCACATTTCACGTCATCCAAGAAAAAGGTGGAGCTAACATTGCTTTTCACATAGTCTACTGTCTGCGATGTTCCGGCCAAGGCCAGGGTCTGACTGAAATTCGAAAAGACACCAATTCTAAGGAAACTCAAAGTGACAATTAAGGACATTAAAAACATATTGTTGAGTCATTAAGCATTTAAATGATAGGATAAAAGTATGTAATGCATGATGACTCTTTGCGCCTACCTACAGGAAATACTGTTATTTTGTACTTGAGTCTAAAACTAAAATTCTATAAATGGAGAAACATGATCCAGACAGAACAAAATTTTCATAAAAACTATTTTATATGTGTATATGATGACATATGCAACACTTGATTATATATTTGACATTAGGTATTTTGTCAACAAAAAAAGTCAACATAGTTTATATCTTTATATTTATATTTCTACTGAATTTGGACTCAATATACCTCCCAAAGAATATGGAATTATTTCTCCATGAATTTTCCAGTTGGCATACAAATACATAAGGAAACGAGTGATGACATCACAATTATGTGATGGCACTTTCAGTGGCATAGACTTGCACAAGTCCAATATTTCAGAAATTATCAAAAAATATTGAAATTGCACTGGGTGTAAAAATGAGGATTGAATCCTGTTCTTATGAGGTTTATGGGGTATAAACCTCAGTGGGTCTTCAGACAAATTCAAAGAGAAGGATTCAAACGTTAAAGAAACAAAGGTTGCATAGCTATCAGATTCAATCTTTTCATTAATATCCGATCATTACAATCATGGACTGATTAATTCTCATACAATACTTTAAGATATTGATAATCGGAATTGTACATTTTGTTATTACATGTACTTTATTTTATAATAGAGTTTTGCGCTAAGGTACAAAGAAGACACATACATACAATGTACATGTGGTTTTTTTTTTTTTTTAATTTGGATTATTTTTCACAATTGTAAAAAAAAAATATTAGCCAACAAAATTGTCATAATCTATAAACAAAGATAACGTCTGAAGCAATACACATCCCTAGACTTCCTTATAGTGGTGACTTACTTGAAGCATAGAGATCCACACACCACTCTGGCGTCTAGTATGTCCCAGTGGTCGTCACAAACTGCCCCCCAAGTGTTGTTGTATTTGACCTCCACAAATCCGACACCCGTTTTGTCACTAGGGCCAATAAGCCTGATATTGTCAGCATTGGTGTTTGTGGAACCTTCAGGGGAAAAAAATCATGAACATTACTCTTCAACTCCACCATTTGTTTACCGTCTTAGGCATGCATTGTTCATGTGTAATACATATTGCCTAACTTTTATTTTAATCACAGGAAAGAAACTGCATGTCAATGTCTAAAAATGTTTAGAACCACTTCCATTAACCTTTATTATTTGACTAAATATTAGTTTAAATGTCATAGTAAAAACTGTTCTAGATACAGTAAATTAAGAAACTTAAGAAAAAAATGTACAAATATATACAAAATTCTGCTAATTTCAAAAGCAAATTTAATGTCATGAGAGAGAAAAGTGGGAATTTCCCTCAAAAATGGAGATTTAATCGGTAAAAATATTTTCGCATTTATAAATTACATGTCACAGATCTCAGAATATAACTTGTGACTGGGTTTACTCACAGTTTGAGGGCTGAGCCGTGGCAGGGGCCCTGGTTGTGGTGGGGCCTGGTGTCACTGCTGAGGGGTTATCACATATCACACCAGCATCATCGGTATGGTTAACCTGGTCACAGTTGTGAACCCCTAGGTTATTGGCTTGGCAAACACTGAGCATTTGTTCTGTTCCATCACAATTTAGATTGTCCAACCAAATCTTACCTGACCCGGGTCCAAACCGTCCATCAGTAATTGCTTCTCCACCCCTATTGAAAACAAGTGATTAATAATAATTGCATATAAAGTTATGTCGAACGCCATATTTAAAAAAAAGAAATGTTTTCAGTTTTCCGACAAACTCACTAAAATGGCACTGTCTCACACTTTTGTTAGAATTAATTTTCTTGCTGAATAATAACTGAAACTTCTGACTTTTAAATAGAAATACAATGTATTTGATTTCTAAAAAAACAACACTTTTTACCCAATTAAAAAAATGTGAGTAGGGAAACTGCAAACAAATGTGTTTTTTAAGGATGAGATTATAAATGTATGTCAACAACAATGGCAATGTCTTATCTAGCTAGAACATTTTAAAGATATTAAAAAAAAACAGGCCCAGATATTTAAGCACTAATGGCAAAACTAGTATCGCAATTATTTCCTAAACCACTGTCCTTTCCTTAATATACATTACATTTGATCCTGCAGTCCCAAGGATGTTTCAAAGCAGATTTGGTGGAAACATAATAAACTGTTTTAAAGAGGATTTAAATGTTGAAATGAACCCCTTTTGGATCCAGCCCCTATAATAAGCTTTCTTCCTTTACAAAACGATTGATTCCCAGGTCTCAAAGACAATTTAAGGATGCTAAAAAATTGTATTTTGTATGTGCACATGTATATATGTATGTGTTGATGGGCTGGAGTTCTCCCCGTTTGTTATATAAAGATGTGCCTCCATGTATGTTGTGTATTCGTGGATGCATGTATGTGTGCCTGAGATAGGGTATGTTGATGTATTTGCCTCCTTACGATAGCATGTTTCTGAAGCAGACTTTAGAGTGCAATCTCACCAAAATATCATGCCGAAGGCACCCAGCACAGCATTCCACCTGGTCACATTATACTGACAATGGGTGAACCAGTTGTTGCCATTTCCCCAAATGCTGAATGTTTAGCAAGGAATAACAACTACCATTTTTAAGGACTTAAGTATGTACCAGCCTGGCGGAGCGTTCAACATTAAAGCCAAAAGTCAGGTATTGCCAAGCTAGGAGCTAGGGAATAAAAGGTAGTTAGTAGAGATAAATATAAAGATCCCACCTATTCCAATAGGCACAGTAGATTTATTTAAATCCCTTTTGTATCCCCAAGTAGAGGGCACAAAATCAAATCTCCAATTTCGCAGGGGGTTCCTCTATATCAGCTGCCTCTTAAGACACATGCAGGGGGTAACAGCAGGTGTATTCTTTTCTTGATCCCTGACCTGCAGGGGTATCGGTGTAACATAAAAGGCACATCACTGTATATATTTGTATGCATACAATACATATACATTTTCACAGTAAACCAGTTATCGAACCAGAATCATTACCCAAATTTGAGTTCCCGACAGACGACCACTGCCTCTACATTTTCAAAGTTGTCCAAACAAACTGTTCCCCATGTGTCGTTGTACTTGACCTCTACTCGACCTTCATATTGTGTAGTTCGATTAACTCCACCAAGGCGAATGCCTTGAAACACAATTATTTTACCTACAATAAAATTAAAAACAGCATTGTATTGAAGTGTATTGAATTACAAGACAGTCAGTGGTAGAAACATGTTTGGCAGGTAATGCCCTTTTTTTATACCCAGTGAGACCCATACTCGTTACCAAGCAAGCACAAACTAAAATGTCAGTGCTTCCTTAGAAACGATAGCAGGAAGAGGTTGTCTCAAAACCAGAAAAAAAAAGCAGAAAAAAAAATCTCAATTGAAAGTTTTGAAACTTGCACTGTCAGTTTTAACTCGTCTAATTTCTGACCTATCTGATATTTACAGCAATCAACACAACATAACAACTGCTACTTCATTCTGATCAGGATTGCAAATAAATGAATTCGTTGATTTCTGGAACTTCAATTTTTCATATTTGTTTTGAAAATAAATTCAAATTCATAATGTATTCATTAGCTTATAATTTCCATTATATTGATATGATGACACAATTTAGTTGTAATAAATGTTATAATCGTCATGCCGATATATGGTCTTGTGTAACTGGACACCCTTTGGTTTTGCTTTTAGTAACATTAATTAAAACACCTTGTGATATTTTATATATATTACAACACCCTTACATATTAAGTTACAAGGTTCCAGTGATCGTAGAGGTTATATTATGGAAGATATGCGCTCCTAGATGTTATAGTATATGCTCCTTACAATTATTTTTTAAATGATACAGGTCAAAGGTTGAAAGGTACATATATATATATCTGTAAGTCACAGTGACCTACTTTAAGTTTTCAAAGCTCTATTGTCCAAAAATGACATACTAAAATATATTAAAAGGATTTTTTTTTATTGTAGCCTGGAGAATTATGCATTGAACTGCTTCCTGTTTGCATTCATAGGCAATATGAATGCCAATTGGATAAAGGCAAATTAATTAAGAGTGCCAGCGCTTCATGGATTATATACCCAAGCTTTGTCCAGTTGTCATTCATATTAAGGTAACTTATAATATATTGCTTATGTACGGTGGCTGATTGAGGACACCCAAAGTATATTTTTATCTCGTTATAACGAATTAGTATCTTGTTATAACGAGTTAGTATCTTGTTATAACGACTTAACATCTCGTTATAACGTGTAAGTAACTCATAACGACTAAGTATCTTGTTATATCAACTTAGTATCTCGTTATAACAAGTATCTCATTATAACGACTTAACATCTCGTTATAACGAGTAAGTATCTCGCTATAATGACTTAGTATCTTGTTATAACGACTTAGTATCTCATTATAAAGACTTAATATCTCGTTTTAACGACTTAGTTTCCCACTATAATGACTTAATATCTCGTTATAGCGACTTATCATCTTGTTATAACGACTTAATATGTTGTTATAACGACCAAGTATCTCATTATAATGACTTAATATCTCGTTATAATGACTTAGTATCGCGTTATAACGACTTAGTATCTTGTTGTAACGACTAAGTATCTCGTTTTAACGACTTATCATCTTGTTATAACGACTTAGTATCTCGCTATAACGACTAAGTATCTCGTTATAATGACTTAATAACTTGTTATAACGACTTAGTATCTTATTATAAGTCGTTATAATGAGATACTTAGTCATTATAACGAGATACTAAGTCCTTATAACGAGATCTAAGTCCTTATAACAATCGAGATACTAAGTCCTGATAACGAGATTAACTCGTTATAACGAGATACTAAGTCATTATAACGAGATACTAAGTCGTCATAACGAGATACATACTCGTCATAACGAGATACATACTCGTCATAACGAGATACAAAGTCGTTATAACAAGATACTAACTCGTTATAACAATATACTAAGACTCAGTCGTTAAAACGAGATACTATAACTTGTACATACGTTATAACGAGATAAAAATATTCTTTGGATGTCCTCAATCAGCCATCATACTTATGAATGCCAACTGAAAGTAGTTAAAAGCTTCTATATACCATTTTTTGGAAGTCTGTTGATCTCATAGAAAATTAAATTTTATCTCCCTGGGTCACAACCTCAGTTTTATGACGAATGTGCAATCTCATAAACATATCCTGTTGCCGAGCGTGGGGTCTTGTGGAAAACAAGCAACATATTCACAACAAAAAAATACTCAAAAAGTACCATACATGTTGTGATCTTCTAATCGTAATCAACAAGACTACTGGTTGCCGACCAATTCTCGCCATATTTTAGACGTATTTCGCCGTTGTTTTCAAAAATACGCTAGCCATCCCTTGTTGTTCCCCAATTATTTCAAGGTTGACCTAAGAGCTCTTAGTTCCTAAAAATAAAAACAAAATATCTGCGCAGGCGTCTCCGAGGGAGCGGTTATTGCAACGACGATAAGTAGAGCCGTTTCCGGTAGGTGCAGTACCAGTTCTCGCCACATTTTTCAAAGACCGACAAAACCTTCGAGTTCGATGATTATGTTTAAATTTGCGATTGTGATAGACAATGGAAGACCTTTACTTTCATTACATATAAAATCCATGAATATCCATCGAGAAATGTTGTCAGGAGAGCGAAATAAAACGGAGAATAAAAAGGACCGGGTGCACTACGACATTTGGCATGATGTGCCTACGATCGTCTTTTAGTTTCAGGTAGATTATCACTGATTTTATTACAAAAAATACTGGTTTGACAGTTTAATGTATTCGTAAACGTCGATAAGTTCAATACTTACGTTGATTTTTAATGAAAAGTTAAAGTTCCAATACGTCTTTATTTCTTATGTAGACTTATGTAGACTTGTCTATATTTGACAGGTGCTTGCATTGATTAGTACGCCACGTGCTTCTTCCCGGTTCCAGGCGTCCTGCTTTAATCCTCTTTTGGTGTCAGTTTATGATGTAGTTTAATGTGTTTTTGTTACTGAATTAGCCAGAAGACTGCACTTATGAACTTCTTAATCAATGACAGATGATTTTCAAAACATTTTTTTTTTCAAAATATTTCCTCACACATATTTTTAATTGAATTGAGAGTAGCAAATGCTTGATAATTAACAGTTACTTGCAAATATTTCTGCTGTTAATTTATTAAATCTGGATTGTCACAGTTTTCTGTAAAACATATGTTTTAAACATAAACAGCTGACACTGAAGAAAGTTTACAAATATTGGTAGTGTCAAACATAGTTGAGGATATATACACCATTAGGAGGAGATAGAAAAAATGCTCTTTACTGTGAACATATGACATTTTTGTACAACAATTGTTAGTCAATTTTTTGGAATTGATTCAATAATATAGAATTGAAAGTAGCATGAATTCATATATACACATGCATACACCAAACTTGCTAGTTACATTGTTGTGGGAAGAGTTCTACATATATACAGAAACTTTAGTCCACTCTCACCCTATCACCTCTTCTTCACATACACATGTTGTTTAAATTGTTGGAGATGCAACTCCTTCTCGCTCTTAATTACTATAAAAATCAAGTATATAATGCTACATATTGTTTTTAAAATTATTATCACTAATGATATATATAATTAACAATTAATACATGCATTTTTCTTTAATTGGCAGTATGATGCATCACTTCAGCAAAATGTAATACAAGATTTTCTTAATTTCAATAAACTTGAAAGTGACTCTAACAAATTACCCTTAATATTTCATGGATTATCTAAATGATCTGCATAAAGCATACCAAACAAATTATGCCCATCACAGTAATAATATTTCAATTATGGTTGCAATCAGATGATTTAAGTTGGTATTGTGAATCAATGATGATTTTGTGCACATGTATACATACTCTCACACTCAACAATAACTTCTGGGTAATAACTGTATTTAGAAAGGAACAAGAAGATAGAGTCTTGGACAAATAGATTGACACAGTTGTTTTACTCTTCACCAGCTTCCAAACATGTGGTACATACAAAATTAAGCTCATCATTTTCCAGTTCCTCATTTGTGAGACTAACACACCCCGGATGGTACCATAAGTCGCATGAAGAGCATTGGACCCAAGTGGTGTCGCCATCATTGTTGATAGGATCACTTAAGTTGCATACTTTACACAAATAAACTTTCTTTGCGTTACTTCTCTTTCTTTTTTTCTGTTGATCATTCTTTTTAGCAAGCTGTTTCTCCTCTCTCTCTCGTTTTCTTTGAACAATTTGTTCTTTCTTTGTATTTTCTTCAGTCATCTTTTCCTCAAGTTTTTGTAAAAAACTGTCACTGGTAATTACCCTGGCCTCAGTAACAAGTTTTCTTCTTGCTATATAGGGCTTCGCTGGTACGGCCTGGAAGATGTTAGCAAGATGGTGAGGTATTAGACCCTCTGTTACAAGTGGATTTCCACCTAGGAAAGTGCCACATGTAGTACAGATTGATGATGACGGTTGTGCTGATGAAGAGGGCTGCGCTGGAGAAGACGTTGGATGTGCCAATGAAGATGGTTGTGATGATAAAACAGGAGATTTTGCCGATGAAGATGAAGGTATTGCTGATGAAGATGACAATGTTCCATAAGAGGGATGTACTAAAGATGAAGCTGTGGATGCAACAAAGGCTGAAGCTGAGGATGCAACAGAGGCTGAGGCTGAAGCTGAGGATGCAACAGAGGCTGAGGCTGAAGCTGAGGATGCAACAGAGGCTGAGGCTGAAGCTGAGGATGCAACAGAGGCTGAGGCTGAAGCTGAGGATGCAACAGAGGCTGAGGCTGAAGCTGAGGATGCAACAGAGGCTGAGGCTGAAGCTGAGGATGCAACAGAGGCTGAGGCTGAAGCTGAGGATGCAACAGAGGCTGAGGCTGAAGCTGAGGATGCAACAGAGGCTGAGGCTGAAGCTGAGGAAGCAACAGAGGCTGAGGATGCAACAGTGGTGCTGTGTGTAGGTGTTAATTGAGTTTTATCAATTGCATCTGGATTCAAAGGAAAGATTCCAGTCTTCCTAAATGCTCCTTTCACATTCCCTGGAGAACAAAACTGGTCAATGGCTTTCGAAAGCACAACAGGAAATTTGGCTTTGCTTAATACCTGACTTTTGTTTATAAACCCAAGGTTCTTGGCAAGTGTGTTGAACCTACTTTTCAGTGGACCATTGATGCTAACATCAAGGGGCTGCAAGATGTGAGTGGTATGGGGTGGTAAACCTACCAACTCAATTCCATTTTCACGCGCCAGTTTTACAACTTCAATGTTGATGTGTGAGTCATGGTTGTCCATAATTAATAGGACTGGGCGATGTTGACCACAGTTTGGAATAAAAATTTCTCTCAGCCAGGCTTGAAAAAGATTGGTATCCATGTAGCCGGACTCTGAAAATCCGTACAGCCAATTTGGTGGAACACCATCTTTGTATGCAGTATGAGGGAGGGATTTTTCAAAAATGAGGAAAGATGGAAGTACCCTCCCGTCTGCTGCAATACAAAGATGGGCTGTTATATGCCCTGTTGACAACATTTTCTGCTGATAGCAATGTTGACCTTTCAAACCGAAAACCTTTCTCCTGTCTTTCTCTTTTCCTGACCACCCTGTTTCGTCGCAGTTGAATATGGACTCTGGCTTATTTTCTAAACCTAGTCTTCTTATGGTGGTTGAGAGGATGTCAAAATACTGATTCATTACTCTCTGATTGGCCATTCGAGTTCTCCCCCTGTCCTGCATCTCTGGTTCCTTTTCTGACAGTTCCTTATGTCTTGAAAGAAAGGATCTGAACCATTTATCACTAGGACCTTTTTCCAAGTTGAATAAAGTGACCCTTTCATCATTTTTGCATATAGAAATGACAAACTGCCTTATCATACTACGATTCATAGGAAAACCTTGCTTTGCCATGTAGATTACATAATTTTTCAGGGCTAACTCCTCTGACTCGGACAGCATAGTTGCTGGGCCTGGTTTTGACTTTATGTCTGATTTCACATGGTCGTCTACAAATAAAAATTATGAATCTGAACTGTTTATTCATTTATTTATTGTATAAATAATACATTCATGTGATAATACCTAAACTAGATCAAGTAATAGGTGAAGTCCAAATATGATTGATTATAATGATTAGTGAGGATGATGATGATTTTACAAATTTTACCTATTAAGTATGAGTGAACTATGTATTTATTTTATTTATTTATTGTATAAAAAATACATTCTTGTGATGATACATTAAATAGATCAAGTAATAGGTGAGGTCCAAATATGATTGATGATAACAATAAGTGAGGATGAGGATGATGGTGATGATGATGATGATGATGATGATGATAAAGAAGATGATGATGATGATGATGATGATGACCATTTCTTGATGATGATGATGATGATGATGATGATGATGATGATGATTACGATGACAACTATTTCTTGATGATTATGATTTCATAAGTTTTACCTAAGGTTTTTCTTGGAATAAGATATTCTCTGGCAGCCTTGGAAACTGTCAACCTTTTGCTCTTTACCAAGGAAACTGCACGGTGGAGGTTTTCTTGCGTATAGCGCCTTGCGTCCTTTTTATATCTGGCTGCTTTTAACATTGTGAATCTAAAACAAATTTTTATACGATGATTGAGCACAACAGAATACCTGTTCGAGTAAAAGAGGATTTTAAAGACCATTTTTCTCCCATATGCTTATGAAAAGTGAGTGAGGCTGCAGGAATTGTACATAGATATTTTATTTTGTGTTTATTTGCTGTTTATTGTTATGCTTGGAATCAGGATGCAGAATCAATAAAGTAAAATGTATCAACCATATAAATAATCTGGTCTTATGATATGTTATTTTACAACAATTGTAATTATATTAACCACTCGTGTTGGCCCTGTTGGAAGCATGCAGATGGTCTTAATGTGAGAGGAAATTAACAGAACACCCAAATGGTGGGGAAGGTGCACCAAATACTTTTTGATGACTGATTGAAGAATCAAACACATGGCTACTTTGGTGAAAGATGAGTGCATTATCCATTGCACCACCACCCCACTGCCATATAAAAATAAAAATGAATACTCTATCCTTTTCCTTGATAAAAACTGCATCAGTATTTGCTGCTTGAGGGTTTAAAAAATACACGTACAAGCATATTACAATAATTTCACATTTTAATGCCTATTGTAAAATTTCAGTTTCAAAACATCTTGATGAAATACTTGTTATTCATAATCACTTATGAATGGTGATAATTAATACATGTTTCACAGTATAAATTTCATAATACATTGCATATAAGCCATGGTCTTTGTTTTTTGAAAAAAATATCTATAACATATATATATATATATGCATTTTTGCATTTCAGATGATATGTAATAAAATTCATTTGATATCATCTTTGTGAAATACAATATATAATAGATATATCTTAATTGTCATATTAAGACAGTAAGAGATTATGACACTGATGTCATATTGTCATAAGCGATTATGAATAACAAGAATTTTACAAAAGGCATTAAAATGTGAAAATATTGTAATCTTCTGATAAGTAAAGAATTGCATCAAGATATTTATCATCAATAAGTATTTTGTTTATTGTGGGTATTTTATTATTATTGTAAAAACTATTGCCTATCCCACAACAAAAGTGACAATGAAATATAAACATAGTTCGTAGTTTGTTTGTTTGTTTGGCGGGGGAATGAACAAAGTCTGAGTGAAAAGTTTATTTTGTAATTTATTGGTTATAGTTGGTTAAAGGGAAGTAACTGCTACATCATACAGTATGATATGGCAAATAATGATTTCTCCCGAAAAAATACGTCACATCCTTTCGACATTTTAGGAGCGGGAGCGTCTGCTTACGATGAACGAAATTATGTTTCATTCATTTAGCATGCATTCAAATCATTCTGAAAATAATTGTTCTAACATTTGGACAATATTGTGCTTCAACATGAATTGATCGTGCAAAACGATGTTTTGGGAGATAGCAGACGTACCAAGGTAGGAAATAAATACTTTGTACAACTTTGCTATTTTTACGTCAAGGAAGTCACGTGACCCCCCACGTGATCAGCTGGTGAAATGGAGGCGACTTAGGGTTCATTACCTGATCTTTTTGTCTTGTGGGATTTCTTAAACCTCAAAACTTCTCTCGTCTGCATAAAATGACAGCGTCTTTCGTTCAAGTAAGAAAAAACACGAATATACGCGTGCGATTGTACGAAACACGTGCATATGGCGAGAACTGGTACTTGGCGAGAATTGGTCGGCAACCAGTAACGATAATAGGCCTAATCGATGAATGCATGCACTGCTAAAACGAAGTTACTTACATTACAATCCATAACCCTAGAGCGATATTTTAAATAACCAAGTATCTGAAATGTAACTTACCGTGTGTTGTATTAAGAATACAACACAAAACTCCAAGACACAACAGAATATGTCGAGGTACAGCGCCTGGTGACATTTTCACCGAAATGAATGTGACAGGATCGGGTCGACTTTCATTACGCACATGCGCAAGTTGACCAACCGTCACAGACCACAGAGTTGTCATTTACGAGGTGGTGATTTATTCGTGGAGATACGGTGAATATGGACTGTATTTATCAGACATATCGAACACTGTCGTGATGTTAAGTGTGCAGATAGATTGACAAGAAGTTGTTGCTGAAAGAAACAAGCAGATGCTGAAAACGGCGCAGTGTTTCTATGACAACGTACGTAAACAAATGGGCGTGAAAGTATTTGGAGCTGAAGCCATGTGTGTCACTGTTGATCGATAATGCCATTGATGTTTTAATATGTTATCTAGATTGTTTTAAACATTTTATAGACACTTAAATGACTAAAAATAGGATTTATTAATAAAATAACGTGATTAGTTTGGCATTTAACACTTTGACAACAAACAACTGATGACATGTGTCCACATTAGGTGTGACGCCAGCAGGCATTAGGAAAGTTTATTCACCGATCATTTCCGCCGATATGAAGGACTTGTTACGGCAGGTAAATGTGCTATGTATACACGTGTGTGTTTACTATAGATCGTAGCCATTTGTCATTTAACTTTGACGGACGTTACTGTTTATAATGTTATGTACAATCACAGGGTGGCCCTACCCATGCATGCAGTTACAACAGGTATGGTTTTTCAAACAGCTGTAATTTAATTTCAAAACAGTAAGTTAGATGATAGAAGATGTGATCTATCATATAACCACAGTAGCTTGGTATTTTTTTTCACCTTTGCAAAAGCCTCAATTTATAATTAATGTGCTGGCTCAGGTGAAATATCAATATTAATATTGACACTTATATGAAATATTAAGCTAAGTCAGATAAAAGTTTTAGGCACAGATATCATTGAAGTACAAGTGATATATAGAGAATAATACATGCCTTTTTCCATATCACACCCAGTATCAACCCGAGACCGCAATACCAGCCCAAGGGCCGAAGGCCCGAGGGCTGATATTGGTCGAGGGTTGATACTGGGTGTGATATGGAAAAAGGCGTGTTTTATTCTGTTTATTACATACTTCCTAATAAAAACTACTATCTTATGATTTATTTTTATTTTTGAAATATTGAAAACGATTTTTTTCCCAAAAGGGGTGTGATATGGGTTTTGCGGGCTGATATGGGTTTTAGGGTGTGATATATGGCGGGGGCTGATACGGGTTTTGGGGGGTGATACGGCGAGGGCTGATATGGGTTAGAGCAATCGTGTCGTATCGCATATACAAAAAAAAACGTATTTATTCGTAAGTATGTAATAAAAATATTTTTTTAAATGGTTTACACCCTAAGAATTGTTAGTGTAAGTTACTTACAGTAACATTTCTTGCGAACGGTGCAGATCACCAAGATATTTACCAACTGAAATATGATATATCACATTTTTGTGTTTTATTTACATAACGTAATACCCATTGAATTAATGTAAGGTGTGACACGGTACCCAAAATGGATCACCAAACCATCCAAATAAGTGATATTTATAGTTTATGGTTGTATCAAAAGAAGAATATTGATTGGTGTTCTTATAAACCAATGAAATAAAAAACAGGGTCAGACTACCAAAAAACATCATCCCTCGGGTTGGGGATTTCGTGAGGGTTAGAGATTTCTCTGTTACATCCTTAATTAAGGTAGGGGATCATTATTTTTCTCCCATCCTATTATTTTAGTCACAACTCCACCGACAGTAGTGTAAACAAAAACACATGTGGGGTATGAATATCGTCATTCACTTTGATGACTTCACAATTACAGGTGACATGTTTTAATGACGTCACAATTGAACACATGTATGCTAATCGGCACGAGGCTGTCTCCCCCTAGAGGGTGACAAGCTGATTTTTCCCGGCTAAAACGGGAGACACACCTGTGAAGGGTGGGAGAATAATGTTTAATATATATATATTTTGGTGTCCACAAAAGGTACCCAGTTAAATTTAATACATAAAACCTTCACTGTCCTGACATTTAATCTGCAATACTTATAAATTTTGCTTGACATATTTTACACATTTGTCCAGTTGTTATTGGCCATTTCAATTTTTGAATGCACAATGATTTGTTAGCTGTTCATGGCCATTGTCCTTCTTCATATAAATCTCAGCCATATGTTTTCTTAAACTAAGAATAGCTACATATTTGACACTGCATGACACATAAGTGTCAGATACATAAAACATGTATAAGTACCGGGGGCTGACAATTCTCTCAGGAATCGATGTTACACCCTTAACAAACATGTCTAGTAGATGAGAGTGTTATCTTTTCGTATTCGAAGAAATGTTTTGACATTTCTTTTATTTTGACGTGACGTGAGCTTACACAATGTCTGTTCTGATCAGTCCGTGTGGCGTGCCATGATCACTCCTTACTCCGATATATATATCCCTGTAGTTGTTTACAGTTTACACATTATCGATCTCTGCAAACCAATTTGAAACTTTTGGCAGTCAATTTACCGATTTGAAATCTTGCACACTGCCTCAGACTTAGAATCCTAGACCTGCCCCTGGACTCGTTTCATGCATAATTATGTGTACCCTTCGAATAATTCTTATAAGGGACACATATTATTGTATTAGTACTGTTCTCCTCACAGTTCTGGCTCTTCTAATACAATTTTCTCTGGGCTGTAATTTTTAAACCATTCAAGATATCTTGATGAAAGCTGAAAGTAATATACTTGCATCACGCACTGAAAGTGTGCAATGCAATATAATAAAGTCACATGTACAGTGACCTTCACATTAAGGTCAAAGGTCAAATAAGTGCAAAATTTTAAGTACATTCTTGTCAAGATATCTTGATGAAACTTAAATTGCATTATACCTGCATCACCGATAGACTATGTGGAGTGCACTGTCATTATAAGTTCATTGTGACCTTGACCCCAAGCTTAAGGTCAAAGTCAAATATGTGCCAATTTTCAGGAACATCTTGTCCAGGCTGTAACTTTTAAACTGTTAAAGATATCTTGATGAAACTTGCAGTATGACTGCATCACCTACAGATGATGTGCAATACAGTTCCATTAGGTCACTGTGGCCTTTACCTCCATGTCAAAGGTAAAAAAAGATCTTGATTGCTTCAAACATTTAAAGGTGTACACCAAGGTGATGCCAATGGTCCCTGACTGTATCTAATTTTGCTTAAACTTTAAAGTATGCAAGTATATATATGACATTGTTAACTCTATCCAAGCATTAAGGTGTCAGTTTTGAGGACTTTTGTCTCATGGTCCCAACTACACGTAGAACTTGTTTAATTTGTATAGATGCATTTCATGATTTAGCAGTATAGGCAGTTCCTCTGATAATTAAGTCAAATAAGTGCTAACTTAAGTTAAAGTTATCCTGATAAAACTCGCAGTATATCTCGACACCCACAGCTAGCTAGATGATGTTCAGTGCACTTTCGTTAGGTAACTGTGACCTTGACCTCGAGAACAAAGGTCAAATTTCTTTTTACCTTTCATATAAGTCTTCAATAATATACATGTTGTCATTTTCTCTTCATGTTTACATACATTGACCAAATTCTGACATACTATTATAACAATAGGTTATATCACCTGCTCAGGAATATACACAAAAATATGGTTAATTTTTTTCTCTAAATAATACTAATAGTGACATGATAAAATTATCTTGTAATTATCACTACCTGTACTTAAAAACTGTAAAGGACATTGCCGATCCTTCTATACATATATTCGCCGTGATGGCCAATTAAGTGGTTAAGGGGTCTGACATTCTGCTACCACTAGTTCTCCACCACTGGGTCGCGGGTTCGAGACCTATGTGGGGCAGTCGCCAGGTACTGGCCGTAGGTCAGTGGGGGGTTTTCACGGGAACTCTGGCTTTCCTCCACCACCAAAACTTTGCACGTCCTTAATTAAATGACAATAGCTGTTAATAGGACGTAAAACACACACAAACAAAAATCCATACATATCATTTCTAATATGCACTAAGAACTATGAACTTGTTTCTAATCCATTTGTCTGTGCAAATTAAATTACTTTCTTTGACATCTCCGTGTTGCATAACAGTGCTCGTATGTAGTAAGAGCAATGTTTTTTCCTTTAGTGATTTGTCACCACTGCACAGGTTATGGAGATTTGTTTGGTAGGGGTATAAAAAATAAAGTATTTTGACCATTTTTATGCTGAATAGAAAGTATTTGGATACCTTTTATGCAGGTGTATATTTTATGCATGACATTCGCTATGTTTGTCATCTCAGCTATACATTGTAATCTGAAATAAGTCTAGCTTGGAAGTTAAGTCCTTTTTGTTTCTTTTTCTGAAATTCCCCAGCCCCAATCCCCCAAACTTTTAACTGGCCAAAAATATTATTGACTGATGTATTCCAAGTTATAATATACACCTTGCATACAAAACCTTCGCACTGGAGACCTCCTGCATAAGTCTGCTATTGATCAAAATGGGTAAAATGTTCACGTACATAATGACACATGTGACATTTGTACTTTTACAGTGAAAATATGTAGCGTGTAGATATATATAGATATGTGGGATCTATCGAAGATTATATTGACATCAAAACATTGAATACTGAACATTTTCATGTGAATTTAAATGTACAATTTTTATAAATATTTGAAAAGATTATCCCTGTTGAATTATGCCATTAAATCAATTTCGATTCAGATAAGTAAGGTAAAACGTGTTTACTCAAGAAAAGAAACCCTTATATCATATTTTATATTATAAGTATATACAAGAGTCTTGCTTGTAGAAGTGTGACACAAAATTTTATTTATATTTGATGAAAATATCTAGTACATATCCCTTATTTTTTAAAGAAGGATTTGCTAAAGGAATCCTTAACATTTCCTATTTCATTTTACCCAGCTGCTCTTCGGGAATCCAAAATGCCCAGGCAGGTCTCTCCCGATGTGAGAAACTTCATTCATGTAAAGTATTAAAATTGCAATTATTAAATCACTGAACTTATAAGCTAGTTGTCATATTTATTCAACAATAAGCCCACCCATATCTGTTACAGTTCAGGTTCCATGCCACACTTTAAATGAGTCACCTATTATTGCTATATATATGGTATAGTTATGAGTCACTTCTTTACTTTAATTATCAGATATTTTTATTAATGAAGGTAAATATAACAAATAAAGTGTAGAAATTATGAATTATTAAACCAAACATCTTTTA